GGAGCTTCATGTGTCAGTGTGAGATGGCAGACTTTTCCGCGTACTTGCGTCCTTTGGGTCAGGAGAAGTGGTTAACAAACAACATCCCATTGAACAACGCCGACACATTCTGTGATCCAGTCTCAGCTCGTGTCAATCATCAGCCTCAGGCTCCTATGCGTGCGAGCCGCTGTACAGAGTCTGCGAAGATTGAAGCTGTTCACGCTGCTGCCATCCTGACTTCTCAAATGAACAGGATGTCCTTTTGCCACTTAGGCTTTCGTGAAGCCATGGATTCAGTTTAGAGCTGAAGAAAAAGGCTGCAGAGCCTTGCGATCGGGAGGTCCTAGGGGACTTCGGAGTTAGAGGCATTAGTGCCATCAGAGTGCGAGCTTATCAGCCGTTTGCATCGCAGGGCAGACTACCATCGAAATTGGTAGCGGAGCCTGCCATCCAGTAGGCCCGCTTTGGGAGAAAGGTGAGCCGAAGATGCAGGGACGAGGCATCATCAAGGATGGGACTCTGGAGTTGGTGACCTGGTCTGGTGACTACAGCAGCTGGCAGGACTACGTGCGTCGAGTCCGCTTGGCGTACGAGCGCACAGAGAAACGCAAGCGAAAGCTCTTAAGGCCTGAATTGGTCAGTCGCCTGAAAGGCAAAGCCTGGGAAGTGTCTGTGGAGATTGATCATGATCAGCTGCGAAAGTCCACAGGCCCGCGATATCTATTGAGGTTTCTGGAGGAGCGACTCCTGAAGTCGCCCATCAACGACCTGGGTTTGCGCCTGGAAGACATGTTTGTGAAACTGCGGAGACAGCAAGGTACAGGCATGTCACAGTGGGCTGCGCAGGTGAGGGAATGCTACCGCCTGCTGAAGCGATCACTTGGAAAACTGCAGGCAACACGCAACCCACTGACTGAGCGCAATGTCAAGTCCCTGGAAAAGGCTCAAAAGGGTTCTGATCGGCCTGGACCCAAACCTTCAAGGAGCGGTGAGCCCAAACGGAGTGTTGAGGAGCCTGAGTCTCAACAGGATGCAGGCAGTGCTCGAAAGAGCACCACCACGGTGAAGCCAAAAGAGTATGGTTTGTCTCCCGAAGCCAAGCCGGCTTCCGGAGCCCCTCAGGAGGATGTTCAACCTGAGCATCATGATGCTTCCTATCATGCCATGGATGGCGGGGAGTCTTGGTATCAACCTTACCGGGAAGCGGCCTGGAGTGAGCGTGACTGGCGCCGTTGGCGTGAGGGGCGTTGGAGACGCTACGACGACGGCGAGGACTCCAGTGACACAGAGTCGGAAATCCAGTGGGAGGAGTTCCTCCATGATGAGGAAGTGGTTCCCGAGGAAGTCCTCGGGTGGCTATTGTTGCGTAAGGCAGGTTTATCCTCGAGTGCACGGCTTGCGGTGCAGAGTGCTTTGCAGGGAGATCTGTCTTTCAATAAGGTCGAACGAACTCTCCGTGACCAGGAGGAGGAGCTTCTCGGTGTTGAGAAACACCAGCGTGGTGGCCCAGGGCGCATGACGCAACCACCTCGCCGCACCTACTGGATTGAGGTTGACGGTATCTGGGGTGTGCTTCCTGATGGTTGGGTGGATGAGCCTCCAGATGATCAGGTATGCTGGGCCATGAGCACCCCTGACTTCGAGGACACCTCCGAGGATTTGTCGGACTCTTGTTAGACGGTGTCCGCGGCTGGCAATGAGGTCGAGTGGGTCTACTACGAGGACGAGTGGCACACCCAGGATGGCGAGGGTGTATGGTGGACCCATGCTGAAGTTCAACCCTGGCTGGACATCGAGGAGATCATGATGCAGTTGAGTGAGATCTATGGCCAGTTTGAACAGAAGCGGCGCACTTTTCAGGAGTCCCGACAGATTGTTAAGGACAAGATCCTAAACCGAGGCTTTTATCCTGCCAAGGGCCGTGGTAAAGGTAAAGGCCGTGGCCCCTCTAGCAAGGGAGCTGGAAAGGGGAAGGTGTTTGGTGCCGCGCCGAACACGTGGGGATCAAAGGGCAAGGGCAGTTCCAAAGGTACACAACGACCCGGCCATCCTTCGTTCACCGGATGCTTCATCTGCGGGGATAAAGGTCATGACTATCGGACCTGCCCTAAGAGGACTCAAGGTTCTCCATCGCGGCCGGGACCTCGCGGGGTGGCTTTTATGGAAATCGAGGATAAGTCCGCCGGCGCCTTCTTTGTTGAGGAGCTGGATGCCGAGGACCTGTCCACGGGTGCGGATTCGGACTACCCCGAGGTCTTCAGAGACAACTTGTGCTCTGGAGAAGGTGTACGTGGTGGACATCGCCGTGATCAAGGGCCAGCCTGTTGATGATGAAAATGCTGACGGTGAAGGCCGACTGGGGGTATTCGCCAGTTTCCATTCTGCGTCAAGGGCAAGGCCGTCCTTGACATCGGAGCTACAGCCACAGTGGGATCACTACAAGCCATTGATGAGATCATGTCGGCAATGAGTGCCCGAGGAGAGTGTGAAACTCTTCGTGTGTATCCCGGCTGCCAAAGGCCCTTTCGCTTCGGGAACGGCCAGGTATCTAGCTCTTTGTCCTACGTTGAGATTCCTCAGCGCTTGGACGGCCATCTCATCTACTTGGGAGTGCACACCTTGGATGCTGAAGGGGTCCCCGTGCTCCTGTCGGTGAAGACGCTGAAGAAGCTGGGAGCGATCATCGATGTCTCCCGAAGACTTGTGATCTTTCAGTCCGTGAATGCCCGCATAGCCATTCGGCTGGAGGAATCACCCTCCGGACATCTCTTGTTGGATTTGAGCAAGGACTGGATGAGCGAGTCAGTGTCTTTAGATCAGTTTTGGAGCTCCGAGCTCCATGATTTGCCGATGCCGATTGAAAGCGGACCTCAGGCGACGCAGCAATACATGCCTCCCGAGTGTGTCAGTGACGCTGCAGATCCATGTTCACAGTTGCGCGCAAATCTTTCATCCGATGATTGCGTGTGTGGTTGTACATGTCCAGAATTGTTGTCAGTATATACAGTACAAGGCAGTGTGTCCTCTCCTCTTGCTTCCGAGTCGTCTCTTGAAGACGTTTCCAGCTTGGCCAGTGCTGTCCGTGCACTGGAGTCCCTTCCTCACTCTCCACGCCCGAGTGATCATGCCCTCCTCAACGGATCCCGACTCCACCATCGACAACTTGCCCGTGACCAAGAGCAAGGCGAAGAAGGGCAAGGACAAGACTCGAGCACCCCCAGAGGAACGGCTCGATTACAGTCGCACGGTGGGGATCGATACTCGGGACCCCCGGGCCCTTGGTGGGCCATGCGAAGGAGAGCACAAGCCTCAGGCGATGGGCCGAGGTTCTCGATCGGGGCGCAATGCCCACGGGGAGTGGATCGTCTGCGAGAAGTGCGGGATCAGGCTGACTTACACTCCAGCCTACGGGGCGACGGGGATGTACAGGTCGGCGGGGCCACTGCCAGCGGACACATCGCATGTACTGGAGACGATGACGTCTCCAGTGGGGGCCAAGGCGGCCCAGGACGAGCTCTCCACCCGGGAGATTGCCATCGCCGGTGCGGAGGAGAGTTTGAAGAAGCGCTGGGATCAACTTCAGCGGATGAAGGGTGCGAAGCCAAAACAAGCAGCCAAGCCGAAGGAGAGTGCAGTGAATCCCGAGTCCAAAGAGGTTCCTCCGGAACTTTCCAAGTCGAGCCAGCCTCAGAAGTCGAAGGGCACCGGATCCAACGATCCGGATTGGGAGATGCCTCCCCATGCCAGTCGCAAGAAACCGCATGCCTTGACCGCCGAGCAAGTAGAGAACCTTTCCGATTGAATCATTCCGATTCTGAACAAGTTCATATGAGTGCTGGTGCCCGTGAGAGTCTTGAGTGCCATGCGCTTGAGCTCCTGCGTATGAACCGCTTCGAATGGACTGACTGTGAAAGCCTCTGTCAGTTGATGGAACTTTCATGGACGAAAGAGAAACAGCGTCAGTCGGTACAGTCTCGTGGTCAGTATTTGTCGTTCGGCTTGTATGCTCATGGTGCTATGTCTGGGGTGACTTCCAAAGCTCAGGTATTCCCGCACACCGTACAATATATAAATACCTTTATGCGCAAGATCGCGTTCGAGTTCGGAACCCCGGTGCAAGATTGGACTACGGTGACAGTTGGCTTGAATGCAGGCAGCAGTATTCATAAAGATTGTCACAATCTCCATGGGTCCATGAATTTGATAGTAGGCTTGGGATCGTACCAAGGCGGTGAACTGTGGCGAGCTTTGACACCGGGCGAGGGCAGGAAACCTGCGCAGCACATACGGTGGAAAGTCCAGCGAGATGGGCAGCGCCTCAAGGGTGTGAATGAGAACATTTGGCATAACCCCGTGTGCTTTGACCCGTTTACACCTCATGCTTCATGCAAGTGGACGGGGCCAAGGTATGTGATATCCGCGCATAGCTCTAGGGCCTGGGCTGCAGCTGAAGCGGAGGTGCGAGGAGAACTACGTGCTTTGGGGTTTCCTCTGCCTCCTCTTACCAGACCTTCGCCACAGGTCATGAATGTGACCGCCGGCGATGATTCGGAAAATGAGGAGAGCACCTGGGTGGTGACCAGGGATTTGGATGCAACTATCAAGAAGCATTGCATGCACCATGCCAAGGAGTATGTGCAGTCTATCCAAGATATTATTCAGCATTTACCTCGACATGCCTCTCCCCAGATTTCTGTTCTTGAGGTGGGTTCAACACAAGGACACCTTCGAGATGTTCTTCAACAAAGGGGTGAGCGTCATGTGTATTTGAGTGATCGTGGAGTTGATGTCGGTCGTCGAAAAGATTTGTCGTCCGCTTTGCAGGTGCTCGAGAATGAGAAACCTCAACGGCTTTGGTTGGCTCCTACTTGCGAGAGCGAACACCCTACAGGGAGAACCGAAAAGGCACAACAGCAATGTCATCGAAGATGGAAGCAAGCTGCCTCTTCTTGTTGTGCTCTCGCTCAGGCCCAACTGGACGCTGGAAGACAAGTGGTCTGGGAATGGCCTGAGAATACTCAGTCCTGGAAGCGCGGTGAGATCCGTGCCTTCATGCAGCGTTTGCGGGAGTCTGGTCAGCTGCATGAAGCAAAGGTGCATGCGTGTCAAGTTGCAGACCAAGGTTCAAGCCAGGAGCCCCGTTCATCACGAGTGTGGCGACTTTGGAGTACGTCGCAGAGCTTGATGCAAGTGCTGCATGTGACATGTGAGGGAGGCCATGAACACCAACCGAGTGGCTGCCTGTTACAGCGTGTGCAAGGTAGCCTTCCGCATACTACATGTCGTCGTGCTGTACAAGAGATGAAACTGCAGAATGAGCTTCAGAGAGCAGAAGATGAACATACATGTGCTGAACATGAGATGGCGTTTGAGGTTGCAAATCAGAGATGTGATGCAGTCTGTGCTGCACAGGAATTGAGCGATCCCGAGAAGATGACCAAGGAGGAGCGGGTGATCCATGCCCAGCTCATGAAGCTGCACCGCAGGTGTGGCCACCCAGGGAATCGTGCCCTGGTCAATCTTCTCAAGACTCGTGAGGTGGATGAGCATGTCATTCGCATCGCGCAGAATCTTCGTTGTGATGAGTGTCAGAAGATGAAGGTGAGCGAACCCCACAATGTGGTGGGACTGGACCGATGTGAGCAGTTGTGGCACACTCTTCAGATTGATCATGTGGATTTTCAGTGGAATCGAGAAGTTGTACATGTGCTTGTGCTCACAGATGAAGCCAGTCAGTATACCATTGTGCAAGAGATGCATCGGAGACCCGTAGAAGAGTCTCGCAATTCCACGACAGCTGAGGTGATCCGAGCTATTGAAACTTCCTGGGTGATGCGTCATGGGTATCCCAGCCGCATTCGTCTAGACCCTGAAGGTGCCTTTAAAGGCACCGCTCTTGGTGACTGGGCAGCAGAGTGCGGGATTGAGATGGATGTTATTCCAGGGGAGGATCATGCTCAGATTGGTGTTGTGGAGCGCATGGGTGGCATTCTTAAGCATCATGCACATGTTATGCTACAGGGAGATTCAACATGGATCCTTTTCGTGCACTTGTGCTTATGACTGCTGCGCATAATGAAAACCAGTTCGTCAATGGATACACACCCATGCAGTGGGCTTTTGGCCGACAATACAGTCATGATCGACGGCTGTTTGACGGCGGCCATGCAACTCCTCTGCAGTGTTCTGAAGGGACAGCTGGCACTTCTTTCAAAGAGAATTTGCAACATCGTATCCAAGCAGAGGTCATCTTTAAGAAAGCACAAGCAGCTCGCAGGGTCACTTTAGCGATGAATTCCAAGACACGGGCCCAACAAGTGTTTTTGCCCGGTGATTTGGTATATTACAAGAGAGTGAAGCCACCATCAGATTTTCCAGCAAATCCCAAGTTTCAGCCAAAACACAGACAAGCCCGTTGGTACGGGCCTGCCAGAGTTCTCTCAACCGAGACCCGAACCGATGGTCTCGAGCGGCGACCTGCTGCTGTAGTGTGGATTGTCTCACATGGTAGGTTGAAGAGGTGTAGCCAGTGGCAGCTTCGGCGTGCCACTATGTCCGAAGCCATCGTTGCAGAAGGCGCTCGAGCACCGACACCCACGTGGACATTCCATGACTTGATCCAGCATTTGCACAAGGGCCAGTACGACACGTATGATGATCTGACTCTTCCAGAAGATCGACGTGAGCCGCAAGGACGCTATGCCACTCCAGGTACCATTCCTTTGGCCGGAAATCCTGAGCGACCTCGTCGAGCTCGATCAGAAGGCCCCGATGGACGTGGGAGGACTCCTACTCAAGGAAGATCTAGATCACGGGCGCGCACGAGATCAGGAGGACGTGGACTTTCTGGTGATCCTGGCGGAGTTCCTCATGATCTTCCTGGACGTCGACTTCCTGGTGACGCTGGCGGAGTTCCTCGTGACCTTCAAGGACGTGAACTTCCTGGTGACGCTGGCGGAGTTCCTCGTGACCTTCAAGGACGTGAACCTCCTGGTGACGTTGGCGGAGTTCCTCGCGACCTACATGTACGTGGACCTCCTGGTGACGCTGGTGGAGTTCCTCGTGATCTTCATGGACGTGTACTTCCTGGCGATGCTGGCGGAGTTCATCGTGATCCTCATGGACCTCATGCAGTACCTGGTCAACCTATGGAAGTTGAGACGTCGCGAAAGAGGAAAACTATGCCTGCAACTTCGCCTCGTACTACGTCTACTCCAGCTTCGTCATCGACTGCGCCTAGACCTGAATGGATTGAACCCGATCCCAACATGAGCCTGGAGAGATTGCTCTCTGATCCACAGTTTTCGATTCCCAACGCGCGAACAGCTCCTCCTGCCCCTGAACCTCGACAACGGCGCGAACCTTCAGACCTGTACAAGAACGAGCAGTTCCAGAAGCAGCGACGTCTTCGTGCTCAAGAGGAGGGAGCTCAGATGTTGGCAGACACGGTGGATGAAGAGCAGGCCTTGTTTGCCTTTGAGTCCGGACAGTCTGCTGTGTGCCAAATGGAGTTTGAAATGCCCAAAACCAGTGCTCAATGGCGAGCATTCAAAAGGGAGGATAAAGTCTGGGCGGCACAGATGCTCCGGAAATCAGAGGTTCGGTGGTCATCTTTGGGTGAAAAAGAACGTGCTGAATTTCAGAAGGCCAAGATGCTCGAAGTCGATTAATGGATTCAGGCCGAAGCTACGCGAGCAATTCAAGGCCACGTGGATCCACAGCGAGCGATCAGAATGAGATGGGTGCTCACATATAAAGAGAGTGGGGGCACCAAAGGCACGAATAGTCCTGATAGGATTCGAGGACCCCGACCTCGATACCCTAGTATCTTCATCACCTACGATGTGTCGTAGAACGCGACAACTCATCCTTCAATTTGCAGCGCAGAAAGGTTGGAAATGCCTGAAAGCAGACATCAAATCAGCATTCTTGCAGGGACCGGCTAGCCAAGAAGCACGACAACTGTTTGCCATCCCGGTGAAAGAGTTGGCAGACAGGATGGGAATCCCTGAAGGGCAAGCCGTCCAGGTCCGGAAAGCCGCGTACGGCCTCGTAAACGCCCCTGCCGAGTTCTACAAAGCAGTGGATGTCGCATTGAAGGCCCAGGGCTTCATCCAAATGAAAACGGAACCTTGTGGATGGCTCCTCCGTGGCAAAGATCCTTTAACTGTGAAGGTGACGACCCTAGGTGTAGTGGTGAGCCACGTGGACGACTTCATCATTTGCGGCTGTGAACAAAGTGATGAGTGGAATCGGGCTTTAGCTGCTTTCTACGAACAATTCCGCTGGAGTCCATGGGAGCACACCTCCTTCATGCACTGTGGCATCATGATCAAGGAAGCGGCTGATGGATCAAAGGTCCTGGACCACGCAAAGTTCTGTGAGACCGTGGAGCAGGTGATGGTGAACAAGGACCGGGATGATGCCGAACTCGCCACGCCAGCTGAGGTATCTCAGCTCCGTGCACTCTTAGGCGCGGCCCAATGGAGGGCTTACAATAGTGCTCCTCAGCATGCTGCAAAAGTAGGTCTGCTTCTGTCTCAAGTCAGCAAAGCTACCGTGCGGACCTTGCGAGAGGCCAACAAACTAGCCAGGGAGATCCACGGGGCAAGGAACACTTCAGTTCGGATAAACTACATCCCAGGGATCAGCGCTGAAGAAGTTGTGTTCATCTGCTGGTCAGATGCGGCCGTTGCTAACCGAAGAGATCTCACATCGACAGGGGGACATGTGGTAGCAGCTACTTCATCAGCAATGCTTCATGGCGAAGCTGCTCCTTTGACTCTGATTTCCTGGAGATCGCATAAACTGCAGAGGATTGCGAGGTCCTCGCTGTCAGCAGAGATCCAAGGCTTCAGTGAAGGAGAAGAAGAACTGATGTACGTTCGTCTCTGTTAGGCAGAGCTTTGTGGCCATGATGTCGATACCAAAGATATCTCTGCGCAGATGAAAGCCGTATCTGGCACAATGGTCACTGACGCAAAATCTCTGTATGATGTAGTTCGGAAGGGGTCCCTGAACACGGCGGGACTGGGCTTGAGAGACAAGTATTCCACACTCGAGATGTTATCCGTTCTAGAAAGGCTGGAGCGTGGAAACACATTCACAAGATGGGTGCACAGTGAAGCCCAACTGGCTGACGCCTTGACCAAACCTCAAGTCACCTCTTCTCTGCACAAAGTGCTGCAGGAACATATGTGGATTCTTGTGTATGATGAAAGATTTGCGTCCAGCAAGAAGCGCAAGCAGCAGCAGCATCAATCCTTTTCGCCTATAGACTTTGGGGCGTGTCAATCATCAGCCTCAGGCTCTTACGCGTGCGAGCCGCTGTACAGAGTCTGCGAAGATTGAAGCTGTTCACGCTGCTGCCATCCTGACTTCTCAAATGAACAGGATGTCCTTTTGCCACTTAAGCTTTCGTGAAGCCATGGATTCAATTTAGAGCTGAAGAAAAAGGCTGCAGAGCCTTGCGATCGGGAGGTCCTAGGGGACTTCGGAGTTAGAGGCACTAGTGCCATCAGAGTGCGAGCTTATCAGCCGTTTGCATCGCAGGGCAGACTACCATCGAAAGCTCGCGCCATGTTGCACCCTACAAGGGAGAGACGCCGCCACAGGTCAGGTCAACAACTGCTTCGCAGTGTTTTTGTTGCTTCGAAAGCTTTGTGAACCTCA